GGATCTCCCCTCCTTCCGCCGCGCCCTCAAGACATAGCTATTTCAGCTGGCGGGACTGGCCTAAGGGGTATTTTAAATTTGGTTTTTAAATAATTTTAAAAAAGGAAGAAAAGGCCCATATTAATATTTCTTTTTAACTACATTTTTAATTTTGTATATTGTATTGATTGTTTTGTTTTAAACTGGCTGTAAGCCGCCCTGAGTCCACCAGGAGAAGGGCGGGGTATAAATGTAATAAATAATAATAATAATAATAAAAATAATATTGCATCTTAGACAGGATTTTTCAAGCTTTTTCAGCCTACCCAACTTGTTGAGTTTTAAAAATATTGGGAACCCCTGATCATGAAAAACTGGCTTCATTCAAGTGACTTTTTAATCTGTCACAGAACCTCATCCTGTTCTTGAGGAACCCAAGGACTGCATGGAACACAGTTTGAAAACCCTGATCTAAACAATGCACAACTGTGACTGTTAATAATTCACATTTGTCACTACCATTAAACACGTTTACCTGTCTTTGAATCCCCTCAACACCTTCTGAATTAGAATGGCTTTTTCTCTGAGTGCCTTGTCTCGCTGCACCTCCAGGACTGTATCATGATAATCCTATTAAAGAGTCAGGAAAAATAAAAGCCCACCTATTTGAGCAAAGGCTATAGCAAAACAGATTAAATGATTCTGTATACATAATAGTAGCTGGACTTAATTGTTCTTCTTAACAATTTAATTTATTACTAAACCCACTGAAATTTGATCAGTGGTGCACTGATAAATATTTAAAAAACCTGTTCTGATGGCTCTGCTGCTGCTCCCACACTACTAGCCTTAGACCAGCCAATTTGCATGCCATGCATAATAGCTCAGCTCACAAAATTCCAGAAACTTTAACAGTCAGCTTTTGCCAGCTAGTATAAGTCAATTCCACTGCATCACTGAGTTTGATTATATAGAAAGCATGAATCAGGATCAAGCTGCAAAACAAATATTTTAAAGCAGAATAAATGGGGAGAAAAGAAAGACTTAGACGGGTAAGGGAAGATTATTTCTTACTCCTCTTCTGTGCTGCACATACTACTGCTTATCTAGAAGGGAATAAAGTAATGAGCATATATGTACATTGGAGTATTTCACCATTCAAGTGTTCAGTTTTTTTGTTGTTCAAAAATATATATTACTGTATTGGTCATAAGCAGTTTATTTTACCTGTAAGAAAAAAAAATTCAGAGGTATGGGTAGAAGTATATCTAAATGAGTTGTCTATATATTATGACTTCCACATCCTTTTTTTGACATCTAGGGAGCATTTATCAGGAATAGAATAATTATTGTATATCCTCAAAGTTAATTTATACCGTGCATTTTTTATTTTGACTCCACCTATCTCTATTTTCCACTTGGATATTCTGTCTTTCCAGCATGGCCTTGGGTTTATCCCACAAAAACAGAATGGGGCTCTGGGATCTATTTTTACCAAGAATTAAATTATCTGAATACTTCAAGTAAAAATACTTAAGATTATACCATCAGACTACATGCAACTGGACATTCCATAAACCGCCCTGAATCCAATTGAATTTGTTTCTTGGAAACAGAAATAGGTTTGCACAGTTACTCATGAAAAGTATCTATTTGTGTCACTGTGTAACTTACTTTCAGGAAAACTTTGGTTTTGCCAATTTTCCAATCTTCATCTTCCATTACTTTCTTACAGATACAAGTGCAACTTTGACGAACATCATTTTTCAGCTGGGATAGAAGGTAATGATCACATTTAATTTAGGGTAAAAATACAAAGGCTACATGAGAAATATTTTATTTATTTATTCATCAAATTTATATGACTCTTAACAACTAGAATTTCAAACTGTGGCCATGCTTAGGAAGTATCTTTTTATACATTTTTCATCTCTATTTGCAAATAATATCTCTAACATCAGAAATGAGATATAAACAAGTGCTATCATTAAAACATATAACAAATTACTACATGTAATACCTGCCCAAATTGGTAGTACTGTAATTCCTGCCTCTGATGTTTCATTATTCTAATGAATATTTTCTAATAAGCTAATTAAAGAAACCTTGTTAATTCACATCTTAATTGTTGATTATCTAAGATTTTCCAGTGTTAGCAATTACTATTTTTTCCACAGATTTATGTTATCCACATACTTCAAAATGTTTGATAATCACCGTTCAACAAAAACAAAAGAAAGAAATTGCTAGGTACTAACGGAAAACTGAGAATATTTATAGATCCAATCTGGGTCGGTCACTGGGACCAGAAGTTTTGTATTCTGAGCTTTTGGACTTGTGCTGAAGCCCCCACGCTCAGGGAATTTCTCTCTAATGTGAGCTATTCTGAATTTATTTATGGTTATTTATAGAATTTAATATTAATGCTGATACTGCACCTAATAAATGCTGTAAAAACAGATTTTAGAACAGATCAATCTGCTTTATTACCACTTATTATTATAAAAGAATAATTTAAAACAATAACCATTCTTGAAGGAATATAATAGGATACCTGTTCTCCAGCTGACACTGGCCATAGGACTCTGTATCTGTGAAAGAAATCTGCAAAGCTATAGCGAATTGGATAGCCAGCTTTCCTAATCCGGATGGTTTCCATCATGCCAGAGTAGTACAGCTGTCGGATACAGAGTTCTCTATCAAATTGCTGAAAATGAAAGAAATACCAAATTTACCACAGAAGCATAAACATTCTCTAACTAACCAAATCCAGAATTGATTTAATAAAAAATATTGTTCAAGGTTTTTTAAAATCATATTTTCAGGTAGGTCTATGGATAGGTAAACCACCTGGTCACACAGAGAAAGAAGCACAGTTTTGAAAGAAAATAATCTTTGCATCAACTTTGACCTCTGATGATTTAATCAAGTCAGCTATCTTTGTTTTCTTGGCAACAAAATGGCAATGGTTTGTTTCTGTCATTTTTCCACATCCCAATTTGAACTATTGCCCTGCTATTGGTAGTCTTCCCTCCGAGTACTAACCAAGTCTTACCCTACTTAGCTTTTTGAGATCAGCCAAGCTCAGCTAGATGCTGCCCCTCATGAGGGCTAGTTAGTGTATCTGTTCATGTGTCATCTAAAGTAACAAAATGAAATCAATTGTTCCCTGCCTGGAAATTTTTTAATAAATGGTCTTCTCCCCTGAAAATAATTTACAGTTTGCAGGGTATGAACAATCCAATGGCAACAAGAAAAAGTTTGTTTTCAGCATTACTTTTATCCTGGATATGGTATGTCTTGAATATACCTATGATAAATTTATTAAATTTTTACTTACTTCAATTTGCAATTGTTATTATACATATTTTCATGTGGTATAAAGAAAATTAAAAATTGTGGTTAGGCCAAACAGTGTTTTTCAAACTTGGCAACTTTAAGATGTGTGGACTTCAGCTCCTGGAATTCTGGGGAAGTTATCACAAAACATCTTTTGGAAGTATTTTTGGCACACAGACTAACATAGCTATATCTTCTGGAAACTATTAAAAAATCTAAGAAGTACATTATTAACCAATTATATAATTCTTACAAAATTAGTTCCCCCCTCCTGAAACCATATGACATGACATATGAGGAGCATAATGAAAGTTTACCATGGGTTTCTTTTGGTCATTGGGTTTAAGGCAGCGGATAAAATAAGGCTGACAGCTATTCAAGATTTTCATCAACTGCTCCAGAGACTGTTTGAACTGTCCTGCTAGTGTAGGCAAGCGTTTGGCAGAATCCGATCCCTGTGGGCAGAAAGTACAGAAATGGCATAATTGCCAAATTACCATCAGCAAACAATTTATAGCAATGGTGCATATTCTTTACAGGAAAAAATATAGGACATAGATAATTGAATGCAAGTATATAAAGCTATTCTCCATATATTTACTTTGCATGTTTAGTAGTTCAATTTTTGCTCTGTATTAAAATGAATTCAAAATGAACCTGATATATATACATGCAGCAAATATTTTTTCTATCTTTCTATCTTTCCAAGTAAAATATTCTAGATGCTTTGCTAATGAATACATCTTTACGGCTGCCCCTTTCTTTGTTTTGATTTCATATAAGCTTCCTGTTTGTCCACTGTATCCATGTAAGTGCTCAGAGGAGAAAGAAGCAACATAAATTTCAGCTTTGCAGTACACAGCTTTGCAGATTATTGGATCTTACCAATAATTTTGCAATCTTACAACTCTCATTGAACAAATATTCTCCCAAATCCATAACTCAAATGCTCACTGGAGAAGCTAGTTTGAGTTTTGCAAAAACAAATGTTTATTTATTTATAAACACACACATGTGCACATATGAATCATACTTTGAAAATAAAAGTGAATAGAAGTGCTAACAAGATATGGCCTAGGAAATATAGTCAGAATATAAAATCAGTGTTAAGAAGAGTCTTTAATTTATATGAAAAGGAAGAGAGAAGAAACCCTGTATTATGAAAAGCAAACTGAAAAAAAATCCAATTTGTAGAATAAACTGTCATGATAGGAAAAGACAGAACAAAAGCCTTGAAGAATATTATAACTGAACACAAGCCAGAAAGAACAAAGAAAAATATTTTAATCAAGTATGTTATCAAATAATCAAATATAATAAGGTATTAGATTTTTTTTTTTAAGAAGAACAAAACATCACATGTGAATTTACACTACAGTGACCATACTTTATTATAAAGGACAGTATTTCAGAAAGCTAAATCCTTTGGTTTAATTTACTATTTATTTTTTTGTTTTTTCTCTTGAATTTATTTATTTCAATTTTTATAGCCACATATCTCACATTTGTGACTCTGGGCAGCTTACAATTAAAACATAAACAATACCAAGCACATAGAATAAAACAGCAATGCAAATAGTACAGGAAGTCCTTGACTTATGACTGTAATTGAATCTGGAAATATAGTCATGTCATTGTGATCATAAATTGAGGCATCATGTAACTGGGCCCAAATTTTTCACAATTTTTTCCAAGCAGGCTTTAAGCAAATACCACAGTTGTTAAGTGAATGCCATTGTCTTTAAGTGAATACATTTTCCCAAATAGGTGTTTTTTTCTGGAAATCAGAAGTAAACACTGGAAACAGACAAAAAAATGTTACAAATTGCAGTCATGTGACCATGGAATGCTGCAACTGGCTGTAAAGGTCAGCCCCATTGCCAAGCATCCCAAATGCAACCAAGTGACCTCTCCCTCTGTGTGTGTGTGTGTGTGAGACCATTGTAACTTTCAAAATGGGTCGCATATAGCTCTGGGGAAGTCCTTCTTAACTTTGAACAGTTTTTATGTAACCAGTTGTAAATTGAGAACTTCCTATACAAAGTATGAAAACTATTAAAACTGTGGAATAATTCATCAGGAGAGCATAATAATTCACAAACAATACAACCATTTTATGGGTTCTACAATACCACTCTGTGATCCCCAAGGCCAGATAGTATAATACCGTGGTGGCAAATCTATGGCACGCATGCCACAGATGGCATGCAGAGCCCTCTCTGTGGGCACGTGCGCCGTTGCCCCAGTCCTAGGCCTTCAGCTGAGTTGTATAAAACCTTTAAACTTTAGGCCTCTGCCGCCGTGTGCAAAAAAAAAAGGTCCAATCAATCAATCAATTTCTCCCGGGGAAAAAAAGTTGGAATTGATTGATTGAACTTTTTAGTCCCACCCAGTCTGCCGTTACCACTGCAGCCACGCCCACCCAATGGGCCACACCCACCCAATGGGCCATGCCCACCTAATGGGCCACGCCCACCTGGCACCCGATGATACGTAAGTGGGTTTTGGGTTGCAGTTTGGGCACTCGGTCTCTAAAAGGTTCGCCATCACTGGTATAATACAAAGTTATAAACACACACAATTTTTGAAATCCTTATTAACCTTTTTCAGATTCCCCTTTTCCAGGTTTGTCCTTTGTTTTTACCAAGAAAAACTGGTCACTGTAATTGATGCTTAAGATTAGAACATTCAAACAGGTGTTTATGGAAGAAATGTGAAAGATGCAAAATGGGACAAGATTGCCTAAAGATTGGAAAAGTTTGGTTTATAAAGTTTATATTGTATTTAGTATAGGAAATGCAAGACAACACACAAAGTAACAAACTATTGAACTTATTATTCACAGAGGCGAATCTTTGTTTTAAGATGTTATAAAGAACAGAGCCATATTCAGAAAAAGAAATGCCAAATGAATAAGCAGGCTTTAGAAAAGCCAGAAGGACATAAGTTCTGATATAAAATTAGATTTGCAGAGATCAAGAGAATATATCTGTTTGCCTTTCCTTTATTTTCTACATCAAAGTCTTTGTGTAGATCATACTGGACTGTGAAGGCTGAGGAATCTTTACTATAAAAAAGCTACTGTAAGGGCTGAATTTGGAGTGTTTCATAAAAGGGAATGGAGTGAGACAATGATATATATTGTT